GAGCTTGTTAGAAATGTAAATGCTCAGATCCCACCCTCGACCTGCTGAATCCCGGACTCTGCGTCTCCCAAGCCCTTCAGGTGGCTCCAGGGCTCACTCCTGTTGGATCATCGTTGCTGTGTGGCCGAGAGAACGAATTCATGACATTCAGTGCCATGGATGAATTCCACAGTGTTGAGTAAAAGAACCCAAATATAAGACTACATGTGATAGGGTCTCATGTATGTGAAGTTCAACAATAAGCAACACTAATCTCGGATGAGAGAAGTCGGGGGGACTCTTGTCCCGGAGGAGGGAAGGAGCAACCAGAAGTGAGGATGAAGCTTCCTCGAGCTGGTCACCTTCTGTTTCTTGATGTGGGTGCTGGTTGCGGGGTTTGTGGGGCTTGGGAAAACTCACAGCTGTTGTTCGCCTAGCATTTGTAGACTTTATTCTGTGCTGTATTTCAGTAGCAGTGAAAGACGAAACATGAGCTCTCTGTTTCCTTGACTGGGTTTTTAATCCTTTAAAACATGGGAGCGTAGTCAGGGTGGAAGGGAAGAGCGTGGTTGCCCCGATGGGAGGATAAATTAGTACAAAGTTCTTGATGAGCACTTTGGTGGAGCCTCGAAAGCTTAAAATAGCCTAGAAATTCCACTTCAGGGACCCCTCCTGGGTTTCAGACAGGCAGAGGTGGCTATTACAAGACTGTTCCCTGGGCATTTTTGTACAGACATAAAGGAGACCACTTAAATTTTTCTCAGTAGGGAACTGGTAACTGAATTGTGGAAAACTGTTAAATTAGGAGCAGCTGTTAACATCGGCACAGATCTGCATGTGGCCACGTGGAAGGAAGCCCTCCGTGGCATTGCTGACCGAAAGCAAGTTTGGGGCACCCTGGGCAGTGTGGCCATGCTTTTAAGGCAGAAAGAAAAGCATGTGCAGGTGGTAGGTATACGTGCAAGGGAAAGAAGCTAAGGTAGAAATAAAATGTGTATATTGATTTCTCTTGAGAATTTACAGCTGGTGGAGGGCGGTTGTCATTTCTTTGCTTACTTTATATACATGTTATGTTCTTCTGTGTTTATTTTTACCTGCATTTATCACTTTGGAAAGTTTCCGTCTTCGCTTTGCCATTCAGAAGAATCTTAGCCTAAGAAAATACTTATTGGTGAACAAAACAAACAGCATTTTTGTAGTGCAAGCAAACTAAGATCTAGAGTTTGTCTTAAACACACACACGAAGCAGGAGGTGAATAACACTTGGGTGGAGTGGTTTTCCTCAGTGTCGGTTACAGTGAGAGACGAAAGGATGCTTCTGAGATATTTCGGTTACCTCGGAAATTCACTTGGGTAGAACATTTCTTTTCTTGACAGGGGCATTCTTTGTGCTGTGTTTGCTGGTGGGTCATGGGTCCTGCTCCCTGAGAGATGGCTCTTCAACGAGCTTGTCCCTGTGTGTAGGTGACCACTGCCAGCACCTTAGACCAGCATCTCTAGACAGTGGACCCGGCTTGCTTTTAACAATGGAAAACGTGCCCTAGCTGGTTTGGCTCAGCGGTTAGAGCGTCGGCCTGTGGTCTGGAGAGACCCAGGTTCGGTTCCAGCTAGGGGCACGTACGTCGGTTGCAGTTTGTCCCCGGCCCTGGTTGGTCGTGTGGGTGGCAGCCACTCGATGTGTCCCCTTTCACGTCGATGTTTCTCTCTCTCCCTCCCTCCCACTCTGTCTGAACAAAATATCGAAAAATGTCCTCGGATGAGGGTAAAAAACAAAACAAAAAACAATGGAAAACGTGCCCTGGCCGGTTTGGCTCAGCAGTTAGAGCATCGGCCTGCGGTCCAGAGAGACCCAGGTTCGGTTCCCACTAAGGGCACGTACTTTGGTTGCAGTTTGTCCCCGGCCCTGGTTGGGTTGTGCTGGTGGCAACTACTCAGTGTGTCCCTTTCACATGATATTTCTCTCTCTTTCTCTCTCTCTATCTCTCTTCCTCCTACTCTATCTGAACAAAAAATGGAAAAATGTCCTCTGGTGAGGATAAAAAACAAAACAAAACAAAACAAAACCACAATGGAAAACGTTCTCCCGGAGCCAAGAGCTGGTAGCTGAGCCTGTTTAGCTGGACACGAATTTGTGCTGGAAGCTCTTAGACACTTGCAGCCCCTGGAGACGCCCTGGCCCCGTTTGCAGTGCGTCTTGCTGAGCGGTTACCTTTGCTGTGTGGACCGTCAGTGAAGGGCTGCGCTGACCCCTTCTGTTTGCATGGAGAAGCCTGCGATGCTGTTTCAGACCCTGCCATGCTGGGTTCCGTCTCTTCCCCGTCTTCCTGATCCAGTGCATGTCAACTGTACGTGAATAGAATACCTGTCAGTGAGGGTGAACCGTTAGGTGTGAGGCTTGGCGCTTTCTGGGGTTCTGTTCCATTTTGTGCATTTTTACTTCCCGTCAATTCTGTTGCTACAGATGTAAGCACAAAAACACACCTTCACTGAGCATTCTTTGGAATGCATATGCAATATCAAGCAGATGAAAGCATGTCCAGTTTGGACTCTAGAGAGGGAAATGCCAACATTTGAGTCTGTTCCCTGCTCCCCAGCACAGAGAGCCAAACTGTGACAGGGAAGTGGGCTTCTCCCCAGGAGCGGTCTCCGTTTTCCCTTGGAAACCTGTCTGGGGGCTTATTGATCTTCCCAGTACGTCTTCCTTCCTCAACAGGGGCCTGAACTAATCTCCTTACAGCCACCACCTCCCCTGATCCCTCTCCGGAGGGCCCGGCTACCTTGGACTGGGTGGGTTGCAAACTGAGCTCGTGAACCGTTGTTCAGACCAACCCTTCACTTGTTCCTGTTTTATTCTCCCTGTTGAGGAGATGACGTGCTCATCCATTTTCTAAATCTTTCTAGAGACCTGGGGGCCATTCCGCTGTATCCTAATCTAATCGATTAAAGTCCTGTCTGCTTCTGAAGTTTGTCTTGAACTCGCTCACTTCTCAGTATTCACTGCCATCGCAGTGGTCTTGGATACAACTGTCCTTGATACCTGCAGGGGACTGGTTCCAGGATCCCCGAAGAGAGAACAATCCAAGGATGCTCAAATGCCTTATAGAAAATTGTGCAGTATTTACATAAAACCTACACAATCCTCCCGTATACTTTGTCACGTCTAGGTTACTTATGATCCCTAATACAATGTAAACGCTGTGCAAATAGTTGTTATGCTGGATTGCTTGGGGACGATGACAAGGAAAAAAGTCTGTACGTGTTCAGTACAGACACAACCATCATAGGTCCAATTACAGAGTACACGTCAGCATCAACAAAACTTTTCCCCCCGAATATTTTCAATCCCCGGTCAGTGGAATCCGCAGATGTGGAACCTTGGATACAGATGGCCGACTGTGTATTACCTTCCCTCACGTGGATTATCGTGACACCCTCACACCTACCCCCCCCCCCCCGTGTGTGTTTGTCACCATGCAGCCAGCGTGGTCGCGTGAAAACTTAACTCGATCTCATCAGTGTCTTACTCAAAACCTCCCCACTTCCCTTAGGATCTCCTTCGGCACCCTGGGCCCACATCATCTGACCCTCCCCAACCTTTCTAACGTTTCGCACCGATGTCCTTACTTACTACACTCTCTTACATGGTCTAGAAGGCGGAAGCCCCTTCCCTCCTCCAGAACTTGCTTGTGCTGTTCTTCGCCTAGTAGAATGTGTCTCCCCTCCGACTTCAGCTTACTCTTCAGCGTGCCCTTCCCTGACACTCCCCATGCCTGCCAATAAGGTCACCCTCCCTGGAATCGTCCCTTGTCACACCCTTCATTTCCCTTTATAGCATTGTTTTCATAGCTGTATTTATTCACACACCTCTCCCCACCAGACTGTAAGTTGTGCTTGTGCCCCATTGTGTCCTTGGGCCTGACAGCAGGAAGCTGTCACATTTCAGGTGCTCTCAGTCACTGACAAATGGATGACGGCGACCCTCCTGGCTTTGTGATTAAAATTGCTCCCTATACCATGAAAGGAGCTAAGACAGAAAGAAATGATTTGTCCTGAGTCACACTGCAGGCTAGACCTTGAGACCAGAACCCACCCTGGACCCCTGATGCTGTCTCTTGGGGGTATCATTTAGATACTAACTTTTTCCTTTGTATTATTTTTTCGGGGTGTATGTGTCTTTCATTTTGTCTAACCTGTTCATGGCTTAGGAATAAAGTCGTCTGGTCCTTGAAAGGTGCTAGAACGTGAGATGCGCCTTGCTCGGGTCTTCTTTGTTCAGGACTAAACATGTCTAGGATTTAGATCCGTTTCTTTTCTCTTTAGTCAGTGGTGACACTGATGTGGCTTTGGGTTTGGCCTTGCTCATCAGCCGTGATGAAGCGGTGATGACTGTCGCTGGATCAACGTGTGGCTTACGTTAAAACTCTGGGCGCCCTGTCTGGGCTGGGCCCCTGCTCATCCTGCCTTCTGAGAGCTCCCAGGCCGCCTGTGAGGAGCGCGCCTTGGCAGGTGCGGAACCCTCGGGGTTCAGCCCTGGGAGCAGAGCGGCCCAGGGACCACCTCCAGGGGCCCTGAGCCTTGTTCCCTGGACCGGCTGCAGGCTGTGAGCAAATTCTAGCCGCGGAGGTGTGTTGTTTTCCCTTCGTGATGTTTCAAAACTCTTATTAGTGCCAACACTTAAAAAGTAAGATTGTCATATAGCAACTTGAGTTTCCGTGTTCTCCTGGGGGGAAAAAAAAAGCAAAACCAACCACCACAATTGGCTGGAGCGGAGCAGAGACTGCCCCTAAGACAAGACACCGTTCTCGTTTGCCGTGGTCTCTGCCCGGCCTGCTGGGCTCACCTGTTGCACCCTCCTGGCTTTTGTAGGCATGTCCGTTTGTCCCCCTGATGTCTGTAAGTCATGAATATGTGTGACTATGGGGGAAAGGTGTAATTGACTATGCAATTATTTTTTTCTCTGTCCTCTTCTTTCTTTTACTTTCTCCTCCATCCCCCTTTCCACGACCTCGGTCATTTCGCAGATTCTGGGACTGCTGGTATGGACACTGATCGCTGGAACCGAATACTTCCGGGTCCCTGCATTCGGCTGGGTCATGTTTGTAGCTGTGTTTTACTGGGTCCTCACCGTCTTCTTCCTCATCCTCTACATTACAATGACCTACACCAGGATACCCCAGGTGCCCTGGACAACCGTGGTAAGGGGGCCGGCGTTCTTCTTGTCCACTGCCCACTAGGTAGGGTGCAACTTAGTCCTCTGGTCAACTTTTCATTTCACTGGAAACAGTCAGCAGGAACCAAGCCACTCCAACATTTTACTTAAAAATTTCCTGTGCTAGCCCTGGCCGGTTTGGCTCCGCGGTTAGAGCGTCGGCCTGCGGTCCGGAGAGACCTGGGTTCGGTTCCCGCTAAGGGCATGTACCTCGGTTGCAGTTTGTCCCCGGCCCTGGTTGGTCGTGCGGGTGGCAGCCACTCGATGTGTCCCTTTCACATCGATGTTTCTCTCTCTCTCTCTCTTCCTCTCTCTCCCTCCCACTCTATCTGTGCAAAAAATGGAAAAAAATGTCCTCGGGTGAGGATAAAAAAAAAAAATTTCCGCCCTGGCCGGTTTGGCTCAGCGGTTAGAGCATCGGCCTGCGGTCCTGAGAGACCCGGGTTCGGTTCCCGCTAAGGGCACGTACTTCGGTTGCAGTTTGTCCCCGGCCCTGGTTGGTCGTGCGGGTGGCAGCCACTCGATGTGTCCCTTCATGTCGATGTTTCTCTCTCTCTCTCCCTTCCTCCCTCTCCCTCCCACTCTATAAAAAAAAAAAAAAAAAAAAAAAAAAAAAAGAAAAAAAAAAAAAAAAAAATTTCCTGTGCTAGCCCGGCCAGTGTGGCTCAGTGGTTGAGCGACGACCCATGCACCAAGAAGTCGCCAGTTGCATTTCTAGTCAGGGCACATGACCAGGCTGTGGACCAGATCCCCAGTGGGGGGCATGCAGGAGGCGGCTGGTCGATGTTCTCTCTCATCGATGTTTCTATTTCTCTCTTCCTCTGCCTTCCTCTCTCTCTCAAATCGATAAAGAAAAAGAAAAGAAAAAAAAGTTTTAATGTCCTGTGCTATAAGGTAATAGGGGATTAACAGTGATGGAAGGAGACTTGATTGGGGTGGTGACCACCCAATACAAGATAAAGATGATGTACTATAGCATTGTACACCTGAAACCTCTATGATTTTATTAATCAGTGTCACCCCAATAAGTTCAATTTAAAAATTCCTCTGTTAAAGATCCACATTCATAGCTTGCAAGTTCTACTTTCCATGAAACACTAGAACACCGTTTGGCAAGTCCTTTTCCACTTTATTACGAGGAATACCTTTCCTCCAGGCTCTGGGAACATGTCCCTCACTTCTGTCTGGGCCCTCGGCAGAGTCACCTTGCACACCCGTGTTTTCACCAACATTCTGTTTCTGACTGTTTGTGTGTTTTCTAAGAAGATGGGAGCTCTCTCTCCAGCTTTCCTGTCTTTGTTTCGACCTCACCAGACGCGCTGTTAGTGTTCACGTTCCCATCATGCACCTCTCCCATTCTCTGCCCCAAAGCCATTCCATAGTTTGGGGTGTTTATTTATATCTATATATTTTTGTTGTTGTTGTTGTTAATCCTCACCTAAGTATATATTTTTCCATCGGTTTTTAGATAGAGTGGAAGAGAGGGAGGGAGAGAGAGAGAGAGAGAGAGAGAGAGAGAGAGACACATCGACTGGTTGCCTTCCGCATGACCGCGACTGGGGCCGGGGGTTGAACCTGCAGCCCAGATATGTGCCCTTGACCAGGAATCAAACCCGAGACCCTTCGGTCTGCAGGCCAATGCTCTAACCACTGAGCAAACAGGCCAGAGCGGTTTTGGTATTTATCACAGTTGCACTCCACTCCTGGTTCCAAAATCTTTCTACCCCACTCATGGTACCAAACGCTGTAGTAGTCAGGGTTCTCTAAGCAAGCAAAAGTCACGGGCTGTGTATATAGTATACAGAGAGATTTATTATAAAGAACTGGTTCATATGACTATGGAGTCGGAGAAGTCCCAAGATCTGGAGACCCAGAAGAGCTGATGGTGTAAGTAAACTAGTCCAAAAGCTGGAAGGCTCAAGACTCAAGAAGACCCAATGTTTCCTTTCAAGTTCAAGGTCAGGAAAAAAGACTGATGTCCCAGCTCAGAGCATTCAAGCAGGAGCAGTTCCCTCTTGACTCACAGGAGGGTCCACTTTTTTGTTCTACCCAGGTCTTCCACTGACTGGACGAGATAAACCATCACGGCCTCCAGTGGGGTGGTGTATGGAGAAGGCCTCTACCTCTGACTTACCTCTCTACCCCCCCTTACCCCACTTTGCTCTGAGGGAAATCGGAGTTTCTCATTCCCTTAGAAAACTGGATTGGGCCACGGTTAATAAGAGACAGGGTCATATTCTCCGGGAGTTCACAAGTCATATCCTTGGGGAGTCTTCTCCCATTTTCTCTTTGGCCCCTTCACCCATGTGGCTACAGGGACAAGACCCACGACCTGTGTCGATATGTCAAGGCATTCTGGCCAGGTGGAGCTCTCTTTGATGTTCTCTCGTTCATCCTGATTCCTTTTACGGGGACGGGACATGCATGGTGCCCCAAAGTACATGTCCGGAGATGTTCCTTACAGTAGTGTTTATCATCCTGGAAACACTAGGAACACCAGAATGCCTGTCCATGGGGGAAAGTTACACTCTGAGGTGTTAGTGCCGTGACAAGAAATGAGGTCAGTCTGTCTGGACTGACATGAAAGATGCCCTTGGTATCTTTTTAAATGAAAAAAAGAGAAAAAAGGTTGCATAACTATATGGCTCCGTTTTTGTGAAAGTGAGTGTTTGCCTGTACCTCAGAGGCAGGGTTGAGGTAGACAGAGAGGTACTGGCTTTTTACTCCACATTGGTCTGCCTAGAACTGGATTTTGGGGGGGCACAAGGAACATTCATTACTTTTTTTTTTTTTTTTAAGTATTTTAATGTCTCAAAAGTAATATATGACTATTTTACTAAAGAAAAAATAAGTTGCCTTGGCCGGTTTGGCTCAGCAGTTAGAGCGTCGGCCTGCGGTCCAGAGAGACCCAGGTTCGGTTCTCACTAAGGGCACATACCACCATTGCAGTTTGTCCCTGGCCCTGGTTGGGTCACGTAGGAGGCAGCCACTCGATGTGTCCCTTTCACGTCAATGTTTCTTTCTCTCTTTCTCTCTTCCTCTCTCTCCCTCCCACTTTATCTGAACAAAAAATGGAAAAATGTCCTCGGGTGAGGATAAAAAGAAAAAAGGAAAAATAAGTTTAACCCCCACCTGTAAAAGGGTGCAAAATGAAAACTAACGTTTTCCATTCCTGAGAGGGAACCACATGTAACTGGTCCTGCATCTTAAAGACGGTGGGGAGTCCTTTACTTGGCACATAGCAAATGAGTAAAACTCAAGAGGTAATGTGCAATTTTTCTTTTAAAGTAAAGCTTTTAAAAAATGCACACATGTGTTCCTGGACCCCACCCCACCCCCCAAAAAATACCCACAACCCACAAGCTACTGAGTCATCCAGAGAAATCAGAGCTTTCTGGGGCCCCTTTTCTAATGGCAGATGAGCATCCTGGGTGGCCTGAACCCTGGGACTGACCTCCTCTTACAGGCGGGTCACCCTAACCCAGGAACAGCGTGAGCAAAGCGCAGAGGTGGGAACGGGGACACGCTGCCCATCTCAGTGCTGCGCCTGGCTCTGGAAAATTCTGTGTGCCTTTTTTTTCTCTGAGAAGAATAAGATACTGCCTCCTCCCCTTTTCCCTATGCATCCCTGTGTCTGAATTACTGAGGGACAGATGTTAGACCTTAGGGGGCCTACTCCTGGAGAATCACCCCCCTTCTAACTTGCCTGAAGCATTGATTTTGCCCCTCCCCCCACTCTTGTTCAGAAAAGACCAAGCTTTGCACATTTCAGATGATGGTTTCCTAGAGCTTAAATGTAACCGAAAACCAGACACCTACTTGGATTGACCTGTCTCCCGTCTCTAAGAATAGGAATAAGGTGAAGCCATGGATGAGATTAGTTCCCGAAGGGCTCTGTTAATGTGTATAATCTCCTTCTCACTGTTAAGAATCCAGTGCAGGAGGACTTACCGAAGTGCCCCTCCCTGCCTACAGTGGGGGGTCAGGAATCGGGGGGCTGCTCTGGGGAAGCTGGCTCCAGCTCTCTGCCAGGGCGGGTGCCGAAGGTGCAGCCCCGGGGGCCCGGCTGAGGCGCTTCTCCCTGGTGGCACCTCCGCAGTCTTCCTTCCTCAGCCAGTGTGCCACCAAGGCTGACACTGGAGGAAACAGGGATCGAGAGCAAATGGAGGGAAAGGAGGGGCTGGGTGTGGGGGGGAGAAGTAGGGGTGCCTGGGTGTGCGGTGGCTGAGATGGCACAAAAGCCCCCTCCGCCCCAAACAGGGTGGCTGCCTTCTCAGAGCCCTTGTCCCCTGCCCTCCCCAAAGCGTCCAGAGGAGCTTCTTACCACACCCAGGGTACAGCTCTGCCCCGTTCTGAGGTTCCGGGGTGCGCAGACCTCCCCACGCTGCCTAAACCCCGGCCCGTGTCTCCCCAGGGGCTGTGCTTTAACGGCAGTGCCTTCGTCTTGTACCTCTCGGCCGCGATTGTGGACGCGTCCTCCGTGTCCCCAGAGAGAGACAGCCACAACTTCAACAGCTGGGCAGCCTCCTCGGTGAGTGAGCCCCTCACCCCACGGTCCCCTCCTTCCGCCCAGGCCCTCTGGGGACGGGGCAGGGCGAAGCCGTCCCGCAGAGAAAGCGCCACCTGCGCTAGGACAGTGGCCGTCGGGGCATCGGCTGGAGGCTCACCGGTGCGCCTCTGGTGGCCGAGCGCAGGGAGGCGGCAGGCGGAGCTCCAGAGCGGGCGGTGGCCGGCGAAGGGTTTGAGGGAGGGTTTGAGGAGGAAATGAACGTGAGGCCTTCTAAGAACAGTTGTCCCGGCTGCAGTGTAGGTGGGCGAGCCGCAGACAAGGAGCGCACGTGGGTTCTGTTCGTGTGTTTGAGGGGAATGTGTGTGGATGCACTGAGTGTGCTCAGGAAACCCCCCCAGAGGGTTCCTTCCAGGGCCTCTGAGGAGACGATGAGTGTGGAAGGAGGGCCTTCTCCTTTTTAATTACTATGCTCCTGTACCTTCGCATGTGTAAACCATAAGCATGTATTGTTTTTCTCATTAAAAAAACAAACACAAATTTTAAAAGTTTGTCTAAAAGATTCCATCTGCAAAAGAAGTGTTGGGTAAGGGGTGAGGGAGCAGTCAGACAGGAATGCCGGAGCGATGATGTTAAGGCTGACCGATGGCGCATGGGGATTCATTATATTCTTTACTTATATTTCAAAACCACTGTGTAAAGAAAGGTAGAGAGCATGGGGGTGCACGAGATTTAGAACCCCAAGCTTTGGCAGCGCTGGGCTCAAGTTCAGCACAGCAAGCATCAGCTGGACTGGGTGGCGGTTGCTCCATAGGAGGGGCCTGTGTTTTCCAGCTCACCATTCACACCCCACACCCCAGACGGGCTCAGCGCTTCCCCCTGCCCATCTGACTCATTTATGTTAACTGGCCCTGTAGCAATGTGAGGTTAAGCCCTGGTCTAAAATTGCCTACACCGTAGTCCCCATTCTCTGTGGTTTTGCTTTCTGAAGTTTGTTACCTGCGGTAAACCGAGGTCCAAAAAACATTAAATGGAAAATTCTAGAAATAAACAATTCGTAAGTTTTAAATTGCATACATTCTGAGTATCATGATGAACTCTTGCACCGCTCCTGCCTGGGCCGTGAATCATCCCTTTGCCCCTCGTATCTAAGTATAGGCTCCCCGTCCCTTAGCACTTAGTAGCCTTCTTGGTTATCAGTTAGGGTATCAGAGAGAGACCACATTCACGTAACTTGTATTACAGTATTTTGTTATAACTGTCCTATTTTATTATTAGTTATTATTAATCTCTTACTGTGCCTAATTTATAAATTAAACTTTATCATAGGTATGTCGGTATAGGAAAGAACACAGTATATATTGGGTTTGGTACCATCCCAATATAGGTTTCAGGTGCCCATTGGGGATCTTGGAATGTATCCCCTGCAGACAAGGGGGAACTACTGTACTAAGTTAGAAATATACGTGCTTTTCTCAGATGCACACAACCATGTTCACCCCTGAAGTGAATACCCCCGGGTTATTCGAGCTAAACTATAGACTTCCCAGCGATGCTCCAAAAAATGAAAGAGAGCCAGAAATCGTTTCCGAAGGAAGGTAATTGAACCAATAAAGCAGCTTCAGATGAGACAGCGTCTAGGGCCACTGTGAGCACACGAGTCAGCGCAGGTGAAGTGAGAGCTGTCGCTGATTAGAATGTGCCCTGAACCCCATTTCTATTGTGCTTTGTTTCTCCAGTTCTTCGCCTTCCTGGTCACCATCTGCTATGCTGGGAACACATATTTCAGTTTTATAGCTTGGAGATCCAGGACCGCACAGTGATTAGCCGTTTTGAGAATTATTGGGGTTGGGGGGAGAATCTCACTGTAAAAACAGCTGTAGGTATAATGTATATTTCCAGAGAATTGTATTTAACTAATGTTTTTATATACTTAGTTAAATTTTGCTCACAGTGGTTTGTTACAATTAAACGGGATACTTGTTACAGGTTATAATGACAGCTCTTAAAGATCTTGTTAATGTCTTGATAGACCTTATTATTATTTTCTTAGACAATGTATAAATGGATAAAATGCTAATATTAAGAATGTGTCAAGTTTGTAAACCTAACTTTGAAAATGTCAGATTTTGTTTTTTGATTAAATGTTTCAAAAACCTTGGATAATGTTGTATTGATTTGAGGAAGACCTATGGCTGAAACCCGAGGTGGGGTGCTGTCCTTCATCCTCTCAGGACTGTCCAGGTATGATACTGCTAGGGGACACTTGTCCATGGCCACCAGGCCAGGGTGTAGGAGAGATCCATCTCCCCAACTCGGGGGGTCAGTGACGTCCGTGATTCTCACATGCTAATCAGTAGGCCCAGAGAGCATCTCATGAGACACTAGTCTTGGAGTTTGGTACTGAGTTTGTCCTAAGTGGTGCTGGAGTCCAATGACTGATGTACTCATGGTATTTTTTTTTTTCTAATACATATTAAAATCAGTGCATAACCATTAAAAGACTAAATAGTTGCATGTTTACCTTAAAATCATCTGGCTGACCACAGTGACACGTGTACCATATTTTGTGGGAAATACCGGACCAGACCCCTGCAGCGTCCAGCTCCAGCACTAATCCCTTGCCACACTGTCACTAGGTACTACCGGACGGCGGGAAGAATGCAGTCCGAGGCAGATGTGCACTTAGGGGAAGTGTTTTCAGGCAGGGCGGTTCTTGCACAGCAGTGTATCTCGGGTGACTTTTCAACGTGAGCTTCTTTTGAAAAACAAAAAACCACAGAAACGTTAGTCGAGTTGATGGCAGTGAAGTTTCAGCTGCATTCTCACCCTGAAGACGTGACCCCCGTGACCTCTGCTCCTGACTCACAGAGCTGTTTCTTCCTGTTGTGTGTTGTGTTGGCCCTCCTGTTTATCGGATCCGAATCCCCTATCTTCTGTTCACCCTCGGGAGGAGAGTGGGGTTGCTTTGGTGTCTAGTAACACCCACCCAGACCTTTGAAGGAAACAGTGAAGAATGCTCTGGAGTTGTGGGTCCAGGGAGGTTGTGGGCAGGGAGCGCTGCAAACGAGAGGTGGTGCAGGGTTCAGATGTGTGGGAGTGGGTGGGTGTTGGGGACACAGGAGGTCACTCTGAATCCAACATTTAGCAAGTGGTGCAAGTTGGGCTGGAGCGACGTGACTGGGCTGCGATCTTTCTGGAGCTTGTTCCCGGTCACCCCGGGACAGCCTCTGGCTCGCTCATTTTGCAGGAAAAGCTGAAATAACTCAGCAGAGTGTGTGTGTTCTGCTCTGCTCCTCACACTCCAGAGGCGTGTTCATCTGCCATGTGCTCTGGGGGGTTTTTTAAGTACTTTACACTGCAGTCAAGTCCACAAAGGCAGAAAATCTATCTATTACTTACAGAGATCTGTTTCTGGAACAGTCATAAAGAAAGAAGCCTGGCCCTGGCCAGTGTGCTCAGTGGTTAGAGCGTCGGCCTTCGGGCCAGTGAGTCACAGGTTCAGTTATGGTCAAGGGCACGTACCTCGGTTGTGGTTCGTCCCCGGCCCTGGTTGGGGTCGTGCAGGAGGCAACCAGCCGATGTGGCTCTATCACATCGATGTTTCTCTCTGTCTGTCTCTCTCTCCCTCCCTCCTACTTTTTCAGAATATAAACAGAAAAATATCCTCGGGTGAGGATTAAAAAAAGGAAAGAAGCCTGCTTTTATGTTTGTCTGTCTGTCTCTCTCTCTCACTCTCTCCCTCACTTCCCCCACATGCGTGTGTGATTCCTGTAATCATGCCTGCATTAATAGGAAGTAACTTCTGGGGTAAAAAGTTCCATAAACCACTTTGGAATATCTTCCAAATAGACTACAACTGTAGGTCTTTCTTGAACCGGTAGCACCAAACAGACCTGTTCCAAGAGAACAATGACTTGCCTGTCCATGCAGGGTCCTTGCTGTCTCGTCCTTATTGGTGGTTTTTCACAAGCATGATCCTTTGTGTTGCCCTGAGAGTTCACCAAAACACAACACAAAACAAAAAACAGCATTTATTTTTAACTGAAAGGAAATTATTATTTCCTCTTTTGACTACCGAGAGACTTTGTTCAGAGAATAATTTTTAAGTGCAGGTTTTTAGACAACAAAACGAGTCTCTACTCAGATGAAGCTGTACATGTTAAACTGGGTTTGCATTAATTTTTCTCCTAAGAAAGAAGGAAAATACAGAAACAAAGCCACATGCAGCGCATAAGAGAGTTGACACCACAGTCAACATAACAAGAAGAATAGGTTTACAGGGTTTAAAAAATATAACAGGAATGGTATACAGAGCGTTTAAATTCCTCTCTGCCATCAGTGAGCGCCATCTGCATGCACCCTCAGCCCTTTTGAAAGCAGCACGTTTATTGCGAGAGAGGAAGGGAGAGGGAGAGAGAGAGAAAAATCGATGAGAGAACATCGATTGGCCGCCTCCTGCATGCCCCCCCGGGGATTTGGCCCATGACCTGGGCATGTGCCCTGACCAGGAATTGAACCGGTGACCTCTTGCTGCATGGGTCAATGAGCCACACCAGCCGGGCTTGGCTGGGTTTTTAATTTGATGTATTTACCCACTCGTGGCCAAGCAAAGAAATGCTTTAGGCAATTCATCTCTCCATTGCTATTTCCAAAGCACAGCCCCCCAAAATAAATATTGAGCGAGGTGCACGACAGGCACAGAAAGGTGGCACCCGAAGAAGCGTTTGTTAACGTGGCCTCATGGAAGTTCTGCTGGCAAAGTTCTGCCCATGTGAACTGGAAGCAGACAGCCGTGGGGGAAAGTGAGCTCAGCGTGCCAGTGTGGATGACCGGACAACAGGGCAGGTTCCACGACGTAGCTCCACGTTAGGGAGGAAGTACTCGGAGGTGTTTGGTGTCTGTTTAAAGGAGGACAGGGTTTGGGGGCAAGAGCCTGGCGACTCAGATGATGACAGTTCGGAATGGTGAGTGGCCAGAAAGTTGCTGCCCGAGGAGACATTCATTTAGAAGGTACGTAGTGAGAAAATACCCATGTCAGTGGCAGATCTTTGACATAGAATATTCAGCCCTGGCCAGTTTGATTCAGTGGTTAGAGCATCAGCCCGTGGACCGGAGAATCCCGGGTTCAGTTCCCACTAAGGGCACGTACCTCGGTTGCGGTTTGTTCCCGGCCCTGGTTGGGGTCGTGTGGGTGGCAACTACTTAATGTGTCTCTCTCACATTGATGTTTCTCTCTGTCTCTTCTGCCCCTCTCCCTCCCACTCTATCTGAAGATACATGCAAAAATGTCCTTGGGTGAGGATTAAAAAAGAAAAGAAAAAAAATAGAATATTCAGAAAAGCTAAACTGAGAACGTAGCAGCCCTAGCCACTGCTCACTCACATCTGTTCTCCCTCCTCCTGTTATCTCACTACCCTCGTTACTATTCAGTATCCACACCACCCACTTAACTCCCCAGCTATTTCGGGGAAGCCAACTGCACTGTGATTCTAGGAACATGTGGTTCTGCCCACGTAATTCCATCCCCTGGCCACACTGACTGGTTCAAGGATGGGATGTGACCCAAGGATTGCTCAGGCGTTCCGGAAGAGAAATTCTGAGGACATATGTAGGCAGCAAATTGTTGGCAAAAACTTTATTGTGGCCACAAGGAGGAGCCAGTCACAGGCGGAAAATGGAAGAAAAAGGAAGATGCTACTTCATCATGATTACATCATTGGGCCACTGAATTAATTCAACCCTGAATGCTGGCACACTCTGGGCTTTGCAAGTACATGGGCAACTATATCCACTTTGCTTAAACTAATTTCTGTTACTTGCAGCAGTATGCCTCCTAACCCATCCGCAGGGCATCCTGGCAGATGGCTCTCAAGCAACGGCATGCAGCCCTGGTTCTGATTTACTTTCTCACAGTAAGCCACCGCAGGGCCTCAGGCCGCTGGCAGCAATGATGGGACAGATCAGCGTTAGCACCGTGCTCATTATCAGTAGGGTAGAAAAAGGAAAGTTTGAGAGCGCACTTGAGAGAGTGACCCAGGCCTTCCCGAGGCTGTTTGAGGGTGGTGATAGCACGGGGAGCTCCTAGAAAGAAGCCACGGGGAGGATGGGTTCCCAAAGGAGTTTTCACGACCTGACTTTGGCCATTGCTGTAGGAACATAAAACAACCTGGCCTCCAACCATTGGAATTTAATGAGAACATCTTGGGTCTGAAAGACAAAGAGTCACTTTTGAAAAGTGGCTCCCCTCTCTGGAAGTGAACTGGACGTTACGTGCCAAAGAACATTGAGCCTATCAAAGTGAGGATTAAACCTAAACGCCTAACAGAATAAAAAGAGCTTAGAAATAAATCAAAGGTGGGATGTTTTTTCAAATTACAACTATAATGAGATGTTCTGCTACACCTTCTAGAATGGCTAAAATTGAAAAGACTACAATACCAAGTGTTGGCTAGGTTGTGGACCGTCTGGAATTCTCATACATTGCTGAGGGGACTGTCAAACGGTGCAATTTAAATAAACAATTTCATGTTTAATAAGATAACATTTATGAGTCTGCAATTCCATTCATAGATATTTAACCAAGAGAAATTTGTCCACAAAAAGTCTTATGCAAGAATACAAGAATACGCAGAGCAGCTGTATTCATAACTGGCCAAAACTAAAAACAACCCAAATGACTATCAAAGGGTGAATGTTCAAATTGTGATGCATTTGTACAATGGAATACTACTGAACAATAAAAAGAGCAAACCGTGGATACATGCAACAATGTGGATGAATCACCAAAATATTATATTGAATGAAACAGGACAGACCAAAAATATGTCTGATTTTATTTATATGAAGTTCACGAAAAGGTAACACAAAGCCATAGTGACAGGAAGCTGACTGGTGGTTGCCTGAGGTCGAGGTGGAAGGGACTGGCTGGAAAGGGGCACCGTGAACGTTCTGAACTGAAAGAACCAGTCAACATCTTGATTATGCTTGTACATCTGTCAAAATTCACAAACTGTTTCCTTAAAGCGGGTGTATTTCACTTTATGTAAATT